CAAAATATTCGTTCAGCTAGAAAAGAAACTTTCATGCAAACACTGGGGAGGTTGACGTCAGTTCAGCAAGTGATTGGCTAATAAAACTTTAACGAAATAAACATACACCTCGCTGACAATGATTGGTATTTAGCGCTCCTACTTATCATATCCTACAGACCGCCTCCGTGGCCTTGTGGTAGAGCGTCAACCCGGAGAGCGGAAGGTCCGGGGTTCGATGCCCGGCCGCGTCGTACCAAAAGACGTTTAAAGATGGTACTTGTTGTTACCCTGTCTGACGCTCGGCATTAAGGGGCTAAAACAAGGACTGGTCTGCTCGGAGTCAGGATACTGTGTCTGAGTGGGGTATTCATGTTAAACTGCGGCATTGTATCTCAGTGTGCTAGCACTATAAATCGGCATCAGTCCGGACTAGTACAAGCAGCCACACACACACACGTGCATGCACGTCGGTATATAAGTGCAATAATCTTGGACGCGACGTTAAACCCAATTTCACCTCACCTCACCTATCATAACCTACAGCAAAAACAAATCCGTAATAAGATTTTCATTTTGTAAATGTACATAAGTAAGTGACATAATCAGTTCGAAATACCCCTGGGAACTGAATACATATAGACTACTTTACTTTTGATTGGGATAATCAGATATATAACAAATATTAAATATACACATCATATATTAAGAAAATAGGTTTTTTTATGCATCATGGAAAATTTTTTGTCCCTATAAAAAAAAAGTAGTATTGTAGATACTTTGGTTCAGTCTTTTGATTTGTCACTTGGGGCGGTCGACGGCCTAGTGGTTAAAGCGTTCGCTATTCACGCCGAAGACCCGGGTTCGATTCCCAACATGGGTACATTGTGTGAAGCCCATTTCTGGTGTCCCTCGCCGTGATATTGCTGGAATATTGCTAAAAGCGGCGTTAAACCATACTCACTCACTGATTTGTCACTTAACGAGAGTTGAATCGTATCGGCAGAAAATAAGGATAAGGATTTTTCCATTCACCATATGACTGGGAATTGAAATGAACAGAAATTAATATTGGTTTTGAACAATATTTCACTTGTATCACCAATTATACAGTGGGGAGAAATCTCACAGTGACCCATGTCGTTGACTTTTACAACTTTGGTGAAAGCAAAGAGTCCCAGTTAGGTGCTGATAGATCATGGATCATAATCAGGGCGATTCTGGGATTCAAACCTACGACAAGCGGATCCTGGCACAGCTAAGGGATACAAATCGTGCGATCCAAATGTGATCCCTCGTACATATATGAAATACTGTATGTGTAAAATAACTAACATTGTCTAACTAACAAATCACAAGAACTGGCTTACACTGTGAACACGGAATCCTTTACCATGCCACAAGAACAGCAAAGTAACGTCCTGGAATGTTCTCAAGGAGCAGGGATCAAACTCATGCGGAAACCCTCGCCTGGAAAAAACACAAACTGTCTCACTGAGCGATCCTCCAATGTCAGAACATCGATATTAGCATTGGCTCTCTGGTAGGATATATACAGCCTCTTATCATAGAACACGAGCGTGTTGACAGCATGCTTCAGCTGGTTCACCACGACCTTCTTCATTGAAGCCAAATCCATCCGGAACAGATTCCTGTCATCGGTGTAGTACATAAGGCCATTAGCGTTGTTGATAACCATCGGCTTCATCCACTGACCATCGGTCAGCTTCTGCAGGTCACTGCCGTCATACCGCATGCTGAAGATTGCAAATGTAAAGGAGACGTACAGTCTTTCATTCCTGGAATCCAAAACAATCAGTTTTGGTTTGTTTGTATCGTAAATCCGATCCCTGACCACGCGGTAGTTGCTTCCGTCGGTTGCCATGACACTCACCAGATGGGATGTCCAGTCGGACATAAACACCAACTGTCGTTCCCCGTCCACTACGAGATGAATTATCCATCTTCCTTCGTCCAGCTGGCTCAAGCTTGACCCGTCAAGTCCGGCCGAAAATACATATTTACTCGTCGAGTTCGTATTTGGATTTTTGTTACATGCCCAGAACAATAGCTCCGAAACGGGGTCGTATGCAATGGTTTCTACGAAATTGTCTGTCTTGATTGTTCCTCTTACTGTTGAGTCCTCAAGTCCTACTCGCACCATTTCACCCTCACTCACAGTGATCAGCAAACTGGCTTGTTTGTTGAATGTCGGCATGTCCGACGAAACGTTGAATGAGATCCAGTCAGGCAAAACTGCTTTTCGCTTCTTTTTCATTTCTGATTTGACCTTTCGGGAGCGTTTGAAAGGAGCAGACGTCACTTTTAAGTTGTCGTCTGCGTCACCGAAAGAGGGAAATCGTGTACGTTTCACGGGAGTACTCGCAGCCGACACGGGTCGTAACGACACTCCAAGTTGGCAGTTGCAGTTTCCCGCCAATGCTTCAGTCATGGTCTTCAAATAGGAAAAATGTTCGTCTTGTGTTGTCTTTAATGATTGCTTCAGTGCCATATTTTCTTCTTCGACATTAAAAATCTTTTCCTCCAACCTCTCAAGTTTCTTCTCGAACACAGCTAATACTTGTCCGACTAATTTCGCATTCTTTGCTGCTGCGTTTTCAGCCAAACCTTGCATCTGTTGTTCCATCGATTTCAACATTTTGGGGACCACCTTGACCTTTATCTCCTTCTTCATCTGTTTCTTCATCTTCTTCAAAGATGAAGTCATCTTTTCGTCCATGGCCGCCATGCCCCGTTCCAGGTCAGAAACCTTCGTCCTCAATGAACTCCCCGCAGTTGTAACTGTCACGGCAGCCGATACTGTTGCTATAAAGACATACAGCAGCATCTTCTTGGTCCGATGTCCAGTGCGCTCCTACACCTTGTCAGAAATACGTATGCACTTTTGTCAAATAGATGATGGATTCTCTCAAGGACGTCAGACGCCCAACTGGGTCAGCTATTTACAGTTCGGAAATAACAACTTAACCATTCACATGTCATATCAGCAAACAGCTGGGGACAATGGTATGTTTATGTAATTCTCCCGTGGGAGTATAATCCTGGGAGTAAATATTAACGCTGAGCGTTTTGTGTGGTGACGGTTAGCTCACAATGGATTGTGATGCTAAACTCGTTAGATTTGACACACAGCGCCAAAGTATTCCTCAGGTGTATTTAGGTCTATTCCGCTTGTTTTGATATGTAGTAGTTCAAGGTACGCACTTTATAACAATGAGGTTCTGTAAAAACCATCCCATGGCAAAAAGTCAAATTTCAGAATGCCTTAATCAACAGATGTTCTACACTGAAATCAGTCTGTTTCCAAAATGATTTAAAAAATGATATAAAAAAACAGTATATTACTTTCAGCTTTTTTAACAATGTTGTTTTTGCAACTTTCTTGCTTATTTGTTTGTTTGTTAAGGTTATTTGAAGCATTATCTATGTGATATTATACTAAAATGGAGACTACTCTAGTCCACAGAAGGCCCACGTGGAAATTATTTTACAATTAAAAAGGTATTTAGATTATGAATTAGGAATACAAGGTGTGCCACATTTCTACCCAACTAGTCACAAAACCACACAAGTAATACAACTGTTTGTACATATAAGTACAATATATCTCCCTGATGTTATTGCTCCTCTCAGTCCATTACTAGCTCAAGTCATAACCCATGTTGATTGCGGAAAATCCGGAATATTATATTCGTCACATGTGTCACTGGTGAGATGTACGGATTTTACGAGCTTTACATTTTTGTACACCCCTCGACCTTCAATGTCGTTGTATATAAGAACATTTAGCTGGTACAAATCCCGTCCCTCCCGCCAGTGGCACGTGTAACTCATGGCCCCGCAAAGCAGGTTCCACTTGTATACGGGGCGGATGGATCACTCTAGACTGACGTCTAGTCTCTGAAATAAACATATTTAACAGAAAAAAACAGTTGTTAAATTATAGTTATAAAATATAATAAAAAGGAGCTCAGAGACTTTCTTCATTTTCAGATACTGATACTGCAGTAATCGAGACTTGCCAAACATTATAGCCTTGCACGGGCTGTGTTAGATTAGGATCGCCCATGCTGGTGCTGCAATTAATTCCAAGTGTTTCCTCGGTCCTTTGTTAATTTCAGTTCACCTTTAGACCTGTTTAATACCCAAGTCCGGTTCATTTTAGCGGTCCTGAAATAATATTCTTTGCGTAACGTTCCAGAAAGGCGAGCGCGGGGCTTAGTTTAATAAATTTTAAGGCTTTCAAATGTAATGAAAAGAAACCATTAACTGTTTCAGGTGCCCTAGTCTGTCTGAATAAATTAAAAAGGGACTCCAACTCTTGTCTGGAACCATTTGGCAAGTCTAGATTTTGGGCTCCATTTGAATTATATTTTTTAGTTGGTAGATGTATATTTTTGGGACTAAATGTTAGTCTACAGGCCCCCGTGCTTACAGAGACTGGCTCTACATGATCATGATCGAGACATCGTTTTATTATTTATTCCCCATTTATTATATCAACAACTCACAAATCCTATATTGAGATATAAATAAAACATTTATTGATATCACAAAAACGATTTTTAGGTATCAATAAATAAGATGTACTATTAAAATATAAAAATGAAATTTGTAGTATCAATAAATGTAATACGCGTATTTACCTAAGCTAGAAATAGATTTTTTATATCAATGATACATTTTGCGATATCTGTTAAAGAGTATTGATATATATTAGAGAACGAACTGTTTGATTGGCATCTTTGAGAAGTTTGTAAGTAACAGTGAAGACAGATATTTTGTTTTATATTTTATATTTTTATGATGCGAGGTTTCAAGCAAGTGACACTCTATTATCGCTATTTGAAACAAAACTGGAGGAGGTTTATTGTTGTGAAATCATCTTGTTCAATCAGAGCGGCGTTATGCAGCACAATGTCCCCAACATAAGCGCAGAGTTCAACGGGCAGGCAATCGTGTGACCTTTACCTTGCTTAGATTACCTTGAACCTTGACACGAAGGTCAATCCTCCGCGAGAGACGCTTTGATGACACTGTCCATATTCAGTGTCGTCACGTAAGTAATATGACAGCGCGACATGGTGGTGTTGGATTACCCTTGTATGTGGGGAAATGTGATCTCCAGTGATTATGTATGCTCAAATGGCTCGTGATGCACATCTGTGTCGGGAAATCGTGTTCATTCACAGTCAACTTTCCATTTTCATCTGCACAACCCACGAAGTAAACAGTGGTAAATGGCCTGTTTGTTTGGTGGTCTGACAGTTATAGCACTTTGTTGACAGGTAAACAATCTTTTTTAAGCCTTGATTTACCACCTTTTTTTCTGAACTGTATTTGGCCTCCGATAATAGGTCATACACGTTCACAGAACTGAGACATGTTTCGCGATGTACAATTATCAATTTACCTTTAGATCTACTTCAAGTTTGATTTACCACATAATGTAGAAATTTAGGTAGCAATACTTGCTTGTGTATATTTTGTTTGTTTGTTACCACTCAGCAATATTCCAGCTATATGATGGCAATAATAATGGGAGTCTGCATGGACCAGACAATACAGTGATTGACATCATGAACATCGATCCACGCAGTTGGGATACAATGACATTCATCAACCAAGTCAGCAAGCCTGACCACCCGATCCCATAAGTCACCTCTTACAAAAAGCATAGTCGCCTTTTACGGCAAGCATGGGTTGCTGAAGACCTATTCTAACTTGGATCACAGAGCTCCAGATAAGCTTTTGATGTTGTGGGTATTTTACCCATGCATTTTAAAATCATTGGGTATCAGTAATTCTATCTGGGTATTCAAATTTCTGTTACCCACTATAGTTTTTACACATGTGGGTATTTAAGTTAAATATTTAAAAACACTATTCATCTAGTCCCTGCAAATGGTGTTGTGTGGGTTCGAGAGCTTTATAGGACTAAAAAATACCACGATACTTCCATAAGAAAATGTGATGGCAAATGATCATGATGTAACTGTCATCGTGGAGTTTGGCAAGGTTGACGTAATGCCCGTTTATAATTTCAAAATATGTTGCTGATTTGCTAATCGAATACGCAGGGTTACTTCAGAATATTTTGATGATACTCACAAGTTTTATTTTTGTAGCGTATCTGTAATGTTCGTTGCGTATTTGATACACTTGGATTTTATTTTACTGCATATTTCTGCATTTCTGTTGCGTATTTTACGCAGATATGCAGCTTATCTGGAGCACTGGATCATCATGGGTCTAGCTTCTGCTTGTATATATATACATGGGCAATAGGGCTGGGACGAGTCAAAATTTACTGCCTGGGTTTTCACCCCGCTATTAGCCGACCCTACTCGGTACATGTTGTAGGTCTAAAGAGATAGCTACAAACTGTCCGATTGGGTAAAGTTTGACCGTAGCCCTGTCAAAATGTATTAAGATACACATGTAAAACGAACTGGTCATGCATACACTGAAGTTGACTGCACGAAGTTTATCTTTTTGTCAAACATATAAAGGTCAGAAGGAATAGGTGCATAGTCAGAAAGAAATGGGAACATTAGTGACTTGTAGTGTGACCATTGTGTTTTAAATAAGTTTTGTCATTAAAAACTTAATATATATCCCGTGACTAACCACGGGTCCGGCTAGTCCTGTAGGTACCCGGGTCCTGCTCAGTACCCGAGTTACCCGTCCCAGCCCTAATGGGCCATGTACGTGTGTAGGTAACTGGTTATAGCTGTAAAAGACTAGTTACTTACAAGTTGATTGTCAATTAATGACCATGCAGCAGATGTCAGATGGTAGACACTGAACAGTACATAGCATCTGTGGGAATTCGAAGTTAGAACTGATCCCCAGAAACCTATTAATGTATTCGACGTAATAAGCGCCCAGGGCACTCTCAAAATTAGAAAAAGGGGGCTCTTATTAGAATATGATTTGGTGAAAGAGTTGAAGGATCGTAAATTTTGTGGTTTATTCTGACAGCCTGAAGTGATACAAAAGAAAAGTCTGTGCGTATTATACACAACAGATATATTTTTCCAGAATTTAATTGGTTGTAATTAAGGGTGCATATAACACACAAGTGCGTATTATACACAAATAAATAAGTCTTGTGTACATTGATCAATTGGAAGGGTGCTAATTGGGATTGTTCACTAGCCAATATATCAGTATATATCGCCGTGGGCGCTTATTAGAGCAGAGCGCTTATTACGTCAAATACGGTATTGTATTTTCAGCGACATATAATGGATCAGACTTGTGACTTGTGTGTTGTTTACCCTGACAGCGAGAATCATTGCACATAATCAGCTCATAATATGAATAACGTTTGTCTTGTCCTGAACTGTTTATATGCAGCCTGTTGTCATATATATCGAGTGCACCATAAAACTAACCATTTAATATCAGAGGGGGATGTAGATATAGTCGGATAGTGCTGGGACGAGTATTTATTTTTATTATGTTGCAGTTTTAGAATGTTTATTATTTGTTGCAGTTTGCTGCTAAAGGATATAATTAAAGTCCAGTTACACTGTCATCAACAAGTGTGACATCATCAGCAACAGGACTAACATGACATCACCTGAATTTTCTGATTTTCCTACATATATTTAAGTGGACAGCCTACCGTGAATACCTTTTAGAGTGATGAGTTAAAAGAAACTAGTTCAGTACTATAGTCTGGAAGGTAATTTAAAGTACCGACGTTTAATACATAATCTCAACTGAAAAGGTTGCACGTGAATCACGCACGCACGAATACGGTGTTAGCGTTGGGCGTCTCAACGTGCGTGATTCCCGTGCACCCTTTCAAGTTGAGTTGATTGGTTCAACTGTGTCATATGGCCCTGTGATGCAGGGGTAGCATTATGCAGATGGCTGTTTCAATGAATGCTCGTTCCACCCATGACGAACAGGTCTGGTTGTTGATGAAATATAGTGATAGCTAAATAGACAGATTTTTTATTCATGCACCGATTGTCTTTAAATGTAATATCCAGTTATGCATGACTGTTTAATAATCTCATGGTTTTATTATTCAGTAGGTCCGATAGTTTTTCAGATATTGTAGTAAACGTTGGTAACTTAAATTACCTTCCAGACTATATGTAGGCCTTAAAAACATAAAAATAAATTTCCATTTTCTGTCTATATGCACAACATTTCTCAAGCCACTGTGGTTTATGAAATTTTAAAGTATGCCCTTACAGTCTCTTATCATTCCCATTGATGATGAAATATGGTTTGTTAACACAAGTGTCAGGTTGCATGCAGAGTATCATAACTTCGGAGTACTGAGATATACAGTATAAAACGGATATAACAAACTATATGTATTTGCATTATGACAAAGTGTATTGTTGCCATTGTAACAGCCCTAGTGGGCAGTCAAAATTTTATCATATACATGAGTCAAACAATTTCTTTGGATTTAAGACAACATCCTACCATTTTGATGAGAAAAGAGCGACAGACAGCAATAGTGAGGATATACCATACTAGATTATTGGACAAGCAGATTTTTAATCATATATTGGGTATGTTTCTCAGCCGAATAAAGTCTTTGGATTAAAACAGTATCCTTTGGGGTCATTTACGGATAAAAATGCAAATAAAAAAACGTCATGTCATGCAAATTACAATGGTTTTCTTCCTAATACAGGATATTTTCCATTACAAAGCACTATCACCTGATTGCCTCTGTCTTTTCTTTGTTCATGGACAAGTGAAAATTCTCTAGGAACTTTGTTATTGTAATGCATTGTAATTCACTTGTAATTAACTTGCTATGCTATACTTTTGAATAGTTATACTAATTCTTTGTCATTGATATTCAAGATGTGCAGTTTGTTTCATGTATGACATCGTTGTGACCTTTGAACAGACCTTTTGAAGTGGAAAGTATGTTTATGGCTTGATTTGCACACGGTCATTTAGACGGAGATTGTGTGTCACATGTGAGGACATTAATTGTCCATCGACTTAATTGTGATCATGGTGACAATTAATTGAATTGTTTATTTACACCTGTCTCTCATTAAGGTCCACTACACTTACCATATTCACTGTAATAAGAGCCCTGGGCACTTAAAAAACTGACACAGGGGGCGCTTTTTAACACCATACACAAGCAGTGTAAAAATTCCCCAAAGTTTCAGTCAGACCACTGGACTGGCAACTTAGCAAAGTAACCAGACCAGATAAAATGTTGCCCGTCCAGATTTTTCTAGACTAACAGACCAAAATAACAAAAGGATAAACATAAAAATAGTACTGTTTAATGTTAGTTCACAGAAAATAACAATAAACTGGTGGATTGTCAACTTAGTAATTTTAACTCATTGAAATTTTATTCATCAATAATGTGTTTAACGTTAACAGTTCATTTACCTCTTATATTGAATTAAAACTAGAATGCTTAGGTAATTTAGGGAATACAATAATAGCCTGAGCATCGGGCATGCAATATTTAAAAACTGACCGTCTGTCAGCAAAATAGAACATCACAGACTGTCCGGCAGGCAGGTATTTTAAACACTGACACAAATTCAATTTATTTTATTTGAATAAGCAACACTGAACATCTGTAATATAAGAAAGGTGTTATGGACAGTCACCAGTTTTTGAAATACAAGAAAATTGCCAGGCTGCCATCAGGACCCACAGACTTCAGAAGCTGCAGTGAGTGAGTGAGTGAGTATGGTTTTACGCCGCTTTTAGCAATATTCCAGCAATATCACGGCGGGGGACACCAGAAATGGGCTTCACACAATGTACCCATGTCGGGAATCGAACCTGGCTTGACGAGCGAACGCTTTAACCACTAGGCTACCAGACCGCCCCTCAGAAGCTGCAGGCCCTGACTAAACTCTTCAGGCCCTCATTTAAAAAACTGCTGCTTATTGTGACAAATAAATTGACACATAATAAATTTACTGCAGGTCATAAGGATCCAAACAAATTTGAAACTATGAGCCTGACATGAGATCTACCTTGCCATGGTCCTACGGACAGGGGCTTATTTTGAACACTGGCCGTCACATTAGTTTTCGGTCTTAATTGTGTTTTCTTTTAATGATTATTTACAGATAGGTCTAGAAGTTGGTCGTGGGCAGGGTGCTTGTAAACAGGAGCAGGGCTCTTAATACAGCGAATATGGTATGTTGTTTGTAAATCAATACCCATACTAATTAATCAACTCATTTGTGATGATTTCAAACATGTTGCATGCTGATGTTTTGTGTTGTTTATTTGTTATTTAATGCCACACTCAGCAATATACCAGCTGTGTGACGGCAGCCTTTAAATAATCAAGTTTGGACCAAACTGTCAAGTGATTGTCTGATTGATATTGTGAACAATAATCTACGCTGTTGGTTTAATGGTCAGAGCATTTAGGGTGATGTTGGACTGGTTGTGTATACATCAACTGTACCAGGTCTTCTCTAAATACTTGTCAGTATCCCTACTTGTGATGATATATGTGGAGGTGGATTATCAGCAATCCTTGGGCTAGATAACCTGCATGATAACAACAGTCTGGTTATCAAGGCTACAATTTGTCCAGTATTTTGGACAGGTCAGTGTGAGTGCAGAGGAAGATTGATGCAAGAAGGTTTGGTTTTATTATTCATTACCTTCTGTTATCCTTCATTGTTTATGAGTGAGTGAGTTGGGTTTAACGCCACTTTGAACAGTATTCCAGTTATGTCACGGCAGCTTGATGTGGGAGGAAAACCCAAAAGATGCAGGTCTTTAATATTCATTACCTTCTGTTATCATTCATTGTTTGTGAGTGAGTTGGGTTTAACGCCACTTTGAACAGTATTCCAGTAATGTCACGGCAGCTTGATTTGGGAGGAAAACCCAAGTGATGAAAGTCTTTAATATTCATTACCTTCTGTGATCATTCATTGTTTGTGAGTGAGTTGGGTTTAACGCCACTTTGAACAGTATTCCAGTAATGTCACGGCAGCTTGATTTGGGAGGAAAACCCAAGTGATGAAAGTCTTTAATATTCATTACCTTCTGTGATCATTCATTGTTTATGAGTGAGTGAGTGAGTGAGTTGGGTGTAATGCCACTTTGAACAATATTCCAGTTATATCACGGCAGCTTGATGTGGGAGTAAATATTGGTATTATTTATATGGAGCTAAGATCTGCAAAGTTGTATGCCTGTAAATTCCAGATGGGTTCAATCTATTAAAATTATTTGCAATATATCATAATATATCCTGCATGAAGAGGATTTTGTGTTTTCAGGTCAAGTAACATATTGACCAAGTTGATATTTGAGTGGCACAGCCATGAGATATAGTTTTAGTTTTTGTTGTTTTTGTGAAAAACAATTGGGGGGGGGGGGGTTGCGTTGCGTCCCTTGGGCACTCCAGAAACATATGATCATGGGATTGAATCCCAGTATGTTTCTAGGTTTGTCAGCACCATTTCTGTGCATATGGGTTTGACCAAAGTGATAAATGTCTTGAGACCTGCATCAGTTGGGCCTTACCCCAAATTCAGCTGACAAGCTGTTCTATTAATGGCATTAAACCCTACTCACTCACTCACTCACTCACTCACTCACTCACTCACTCACTCACTCACTCACTCGACCGGTGAGTAGAGACTAGGTCTTCAGCAACCCACGCTTGCCGTAAGAGGTGTCTGTCATAAGAGGCGACTAATGGGATTGGATGGTCAGGCTCACTGACTTGGTTGAAGCATGTCATCGTATCCCAATTGCGTGGATCGATGCTCATGATGTCAATCAGTGGACTGTCTGGTTCAGACTTGATTATTTACAGACCACCGTCATATAGCTGGAATATTGGTGAGTGCGGTTTTAAACAACAATCAAACAAATAAACCCTCATAAACATTGACTTCCTGTGAAAAAATTGGTTGGAGCATGTAGAGTCGGTGCCTTGAAATGAGATTTGTCACATCGTTAAAACCTCATCATGTTTTTAATATTGTAATTCCTATGTTTACAGACTTCATCTTAAGACACGTGGCATGAAAGCAACAGAACCTAAGTATACAAAAATATGGTTTCTTCCAGGGTTCCTCATGAATGATCTGCTCCTGGTGGTGAGGGGCTCGGACTGATGACAAGATGGCGCTCTGCCGGACAGCCAGGGCCAAGACGATCGCAGTGGGTTGTACAGGACTGTGCATGCTGGCCATAGGAATAGGACTCATCCCTGTCATTAATGTTATAGTGGACAAGAAGGTTAGACAGGTGAGTGATTTGTTTGTCTGTCTGTCTGTCTGTCTGTTTGTCTGTCTGTCTGTCTGTCTGTCATATACCTTTTCTGGTGCAACCTCAGTGAATGTGATTGATGTGTCCCTTAAAATCACCCTATGTTTAGCATTCGGGCTTATCATTAAAAATCATGATGATTCCTGATTTGTCAGTTTTAAGGACATACATTGATAGGTAGGTACTGAGCTGTAAGCAGTAAAGTATGGTAAAGTATGTATTGATAATGATAAGTGAATGTATGTAATTGTATATGTTATAGGGCTGGGATGGGTACTTGGATCGGGTGGGTACTGAGTAGGACCCGGGTACCCACAGGACTACCTGGACCCATGATCGGTCACATGATATATTGTTTAATGACAATACCGATAAAACTCCATGGCTGCACCACAAGTCGCAAATGTTCACATTTCTCCTTGACCATGCATGTATTCCTCTTGAATTTTATATGTTTGAGTAAAGATAAATCTTCAGTGTATGCATGATATGATAGTTCTATATGTGCATGTCTGTCTGTCCGACTGTCTGTCTGTTCTTTAATGCTTCACTCAGCAATATTCCAGCTATATGATGGAGCCATTAAAACTGGCAAACCTGGACTAGACAAATCAGTGATTAATGTTATGAGCAACTTCCCTAGGTATGGTGACATGCATCAACCTAGTCACTGACGCTGACCACCCAATCCACTAACCTGCCTAGAATGATGAGAATAGGATTCTTGAGGCCAGTGATGAAAAACAAAAGAACTTGTATATATCATAGATGTTACAGTCATTTTAAGCTGTTTATTTCTGGTCAATTCAAATGGCTTCCTCAGCTGGGGAGTATGCAACCCAAGCTGCTTGTCAGGTGCTGGAAGGTTTTGCATTGGTACCTTTCAACAACTGGGTACCTATTTGCTGCTTGGCAAATTTAGGCAAATTTCTCTTGCCTTAGAAGGAGATATACACATATTTTATAACCTATGATTCAGTGTGGAGCAGGAAGGATGTCCTAGAAACTCTTCCAGCATGGGCATAAGGGCTGAGTATTAGCCAAAAATACAGGTATCTGTATTGCAATATATATTGCGATATTTTGGAACCTAACACTGATAAACACTGATTGTACATGCAGATCCTATTTTCTAAATAGTGAAGTAAATATGGTCAGTCACGGCCATTTTGTAGTCATGGATACAGGGGAGATAATAACGCAAGAGAAAAATCACTTCTGCATTTCATCTCTAATGTCAATCAATTTTGAAGGGAGACACCATTTGTGATTGAGTTTCAGTGTAGATTTTAGGTTTAAAGATTCAACCCATGTTTACCCCATGTCTGTGTGTTCCAGAGAGTCATCTTGAAGGAGGGGGGTCTCCAGTATGACATCTGGAGGAACATGACAATCCCGGTGTACATGCAGTTCTACATGTTTACCCCGTGTCTGTGTGTTCCAGAGTGTCATCTTGAAGGAGGGGGGTCTCCAGTATGACATCTGGAGGAACATGACAATCCCGGTGTACATTCAGTTCTACATGTTTGACCTGAAGAACCCCGAGGAGGTACACAACGGCGAAACTCCGGACATGGAACAGAGGGGCCCCTACACATACAGGTATTTCATATCAATCTCATTAAAATCAGATTTTAGTATCTCGCTACCGCTAAACAAAGATCTGAGGACATCCCCTTAGGGGTCACGTCAGAACGACCTTTCATCCGACCGATCAGACTGTTGCTTACCAGATCATGAAAGTGACCGTCGGAATGGGATTTCTAGTCATGCAGCCTCGAAAACGTTAAAACTGGGTATTCCGAACGATAGTTATAGGCTTAACGACTGAATCTATACAATCTAGACCATATATTAGCCATTCTAGAACGTTCTTTTGTTCAGGTTTCAAATTTTTAGGCGAGAATTTGTCAAAATATGTTTCGAAGCGTAGTCGTCAATTTGAAATTAGTGCCGTAAAGCACGAGAAAGCTGCCTTCTGATTGGCTACTATAACTTCTTGTCAGTAATTCCATTGGTCGATCAGAGTTTGCGAAAGGTCTGTCTGACGTGACCCGTAATGGGATGTCCTCAAATCTTTGTTTAGCGGCAGCGAGAACTAAGATCTGATTTTAATGAGATTGATTTCATATACACATACAAGGGTGTTCATTTGGTATTTGTTATAACACAGGTGCACAGAATTATTGAGGTATTTTCAGAGGGCGATATTCAGACCCTCTACGGGAAGTGTCAGTAAAAATTTAAGGAAGATGTTTACAGACCTGGTTTAACTGTGGTCTCCATGTCATGTTTGTGTTTCCAGGGAGACAAGATACAAAGAGAACATAACCCACCATGACAACGGTACAGTCTCCTACCGCCAGATGAGAGTTTTCAAGTTTGATCGCAACATGTCCGTGGGGGACGAAACAGATGAGTTCACCACAGTCAACCCTCCACTCATGGTAAGCACAGCCTTTCCGTTACCTGTAATTACTGTATTCTTCCCATGAAATATAACTTGGACTAGATATTTCAAAACTTTCAATGGGACAGGCATTGACTTTGTTGAAATATGTGTGATTACAAGATAACTCAAAATAGCTAGGTGAAATAATATCACCAAGGCAATTCATGCTTATCGGCAACCCATGCTAATTTAAAAGGCGACTAATGGGATCGGGTGGTCAGGCTTGCTGAGTTAGTTGATGCATGTTATCGTATCCCAATTATGCAGATCGATGCTCATGATGTCAACCACTGGATTGTCTGGTCCAGATTTGATTATTTGCAGACCTAAGTCGTCCCGTCAAGATTTGGGGTTAGAATTGGTCTTCAGCAACCAATGCTTATTGTAAGAGGTGACTAACAGGATTGGGTGGTCAGGCTCGCTGACTCAGTTGATGCATGTCGTCATATCCCAATTGCGTAGATTGATGCTCATGATGTCAATCACTGAATTGTCTGGTTCATATTTGGTTATTTACATAGCCGGCATATAGCTGGAATATTGCGGAGTGCATTGTTAAACAACAAACAAACAAAACATATATTTTGGATTCAGACACTTCTCACAGCCCTGAAGTTCCAGTCTGAGGCGGTGAGGACGGTGATCAGTGGGGTGCTGAGACTGACGCCTGCTGAGCTGTTCATGACGAGGCCGATGAAGGAAATTATCTGGGGCTACCATGACCCCCTACTCAAGGTTGCCAAGAAATTGGACCATGAATGGTTCTACACTGACTACGTTGGATATTTCATCAATGTAAGCTATATAGTCAAGTTTTGTTATTATGCTAGTATGGTTTTGTTTCCTAACGATACAGTGATTATCAAGTGTTTCTGATTCACAAAGGTCTTTAATCCTATGAGAGAGGGGGCACGTCTAAGGTGCCGCGATTCGCTGCACAGAGTTGGGTCCCATGGGCACGCCAGAAACCTATGATTGTGGGTTTGAATCCCGGTTCGCCCTGAGTATGTTTCTAGGTTTGTCAGCACCATACCCGTGCTCGTGGGTTTCATCGAAGTGGCAAACGTCAGAGACCTGCATCACTTCGGGCTTTCCTCCCACATTAAGCTGACACGCCGTGATATAACTGGAATACTATTAAAACCAGCGTTAAACCCAACTCACTCACTCACCTATGAGAGAAGTTGGAAATATTTATGAGCCTGTTAGGACGGTGGGGGAACCTTCTGGTTGAGAGACCTGGGTTCGGTTCACTGCATGGGTACAGAGTGTGAAACCCATTCCTGGTTTCCCCTTCCAGGATTTGCCTGTAATATTGCTAAAAGCATAAAGCCATACTCACTCACTATGAACCCTGGTATCTAGCCCTGGCATCTAGCCCTGGTAGCTAGTCTAGTCCTGGTGTATATTTCCCAGTGTATAGAATCTAATTTTATTTTTATTTCAACTGTTGACTAATGATTTTGAGAAGTAAGCAACTAAAAGTTAAAGACCTAAGGGACTGGTTATTTATTATGGTGGTGAGGTGGATTGGTCTTTGGACTGTATCATAATTTGCTGTCGCGCTCCCCTCACCCCCCCCCCCCCCCAAAAATAATGTTGAAATGTACAGCTTTTTTATTTGACAAAAACACAACTGTGTCAGATTTTCATGCCCCCCACCCCCAATTCAGTTGCGATAAATTTCGGACCCCTCTCCTAAATAAGTGACCACTCCCCAACTGAAGAGTTTCTGTTATGGAAATACTTCAAGACAAAGCAGTGTACTGCTTATTAAAGGGAGATAATTCTTGATGCCAATAACCTGAAATTGCTAGTAAGTTTGTTAACATTTTTTTTTCTTGTTTTTTGTAAGTTACGAAACTATTTTTGTAGTTATAGTAATTAGTATTAAAAACTATTGCTGTAAGTGTGAACCAAGTCAGTACTTTGAAGTATATAGCCCGAGTCAATAGGCTGCATTTTGTGTTGTGAGAACATGTGTGACCTTCACCTACAGAAAAACAACACAGACGATGGTGAATACACAGTGCACACCGGGGAGACGGACATCAGCCTGCTCGGGGTCATTGATAAATACAATGGGTCTAGGTAAGTGAAATAATCTTCTCGTAAGGGAAGAGAATTTACGGATGTCAACTTCTTTATTATGAGGAACACAACGTGTCGGAGTATACGCATACTCCTTTTACTTGATGAAGGAGTAAGCACATACTCCAAAACATTGTGTTCCTCATGATAAAAAAGTTAACATCCATAAATTCTCTTATGCCATCTGATCAAAGTAATCATAGATCGAAAATGTTATCAATGCGATAAACCAGTTTGATAAAATTGGTACGCTTATTCGATAAATATGCAAAGGAGGACACCAAGTAGGAACTATTTTTAAGCTTTGAAAATTGATGCAATGTTTGATGAATATAATATTGGCTGACGCTCCTTACAAGTTTAGATTGGTGTTCCTTGTGTGGGTGCTTCTTTTGACAAAACATGGCTCCAAATTATTTGGCACTTTATGATAAATGGGGCGATTCACTCAAACATTGTATTCATACGCAGCTTCAAAAGTTACTTATGTCTTAAACATTGATTATTTTAAGAATAATATTGTCATAAAGAGATTTAGACACTAATGTGTTTCTGTATTGTAAATATATCATGTATTAGGAGTAACATGTATATAGTTAACTCACAGAGGCTCACATAAAACAGTGTTTTTCCTAAGATATGATACTTATGATATGAAAACACTCTTGGCTAATAATCTCTATATATTGTACAACGGACATACTGGATGTCCTCAATAAAAAAGTGTAAATTATTTTGAGACAAAAGTAGTTTTACAAAGTGGACACAATTTATGAATAACAACGTCTTTATCATTCTGTAATAGAGGCATTTCCTTATAGATATACTGTTGTCAAGTTATTGTGTCTACTTTGTCATTGGTCAATTTCTGATTAATGCCTATCAAACAATACAAGTAGTTTTATGACACATCCTACTGGTGTTATTTTTGTCTTTTAGTAAATATTTGTTGTTGCAGTTACCTGAACTTCTGGTCAACCCCGTGGGCCAACATGGTGAACGGGACAGGTAGGTCTTGCGACACATTCATATGTGTGTGTACCCTTGATAGTAATGTGTGTTACTCAGACTTGATAGATAGTGAATGTGAGTGGCCTTGACATTGAATGTATGAGTGACCTTGACAATGACGTGTTCGTGGGCTGTTTTTATATAATGTTGAATTTTAGCTTACTTTTCAATGTTAAAACAATGTAAGATTTAAACATATTTTTAAATATTGAAATACCAATGTTGATCATTAAGTTTCCTTTCACATTAAGCTGAAACGCTGTGATAGAACTGGAATACTGTTCAAAGTGGCATTAAACCCAACACACTCACTCACTCACTCACTCACTCAAGGCCAGTGTTAAATCAATGTTGAAAACAACATCACTTTCCAACATATCTTCAAATATGGAAAGGCAAATGTTTAAATAATGTTATTCAACGTAGCAACTTCAGATCAACCAAATATAAACATTGAAACAATGACATGTGCTTGCTGGGGGAAACCTTTGATCATCTCTGGATTGTCCCCATTGTTTTCTAGATGGGACAATAGCTCCACCTTTCATACAGGATGTCACAAGACTGCCTACATTCTCGTCCGATGTGTGCAGGTAATATTTCAACTTGGGATGGGTATTGGCGGTTTAAAGTGCATCACAATATTTTACAATGCTCAAGGCCGTATTACAATACTAGCACGATATATTGTATAATTATAAATTTCGAATTTGAAAACAATTTGAAACTCCAGTGTATTAATTGAAGTTCATAGAACAGGGCTCAAAGTTGCGATTAAAACGGTTGCCAATTCGACCTAAATTTCAATTTGTCTACTGTCTAAAATTCAGAGGTAGCCAGATGACTACCTTGAAAAATTTCTTGTGGGAACTCAATTCTATTGCTTCATATTTGAAGACTCAAATATAAATAATAGCTGATTTGTGGAAAACATGTCTGCTAATAATTGTACTTGCGTATAATACAAGTAAGTATAAGCATAAGTATAGTATAAGCAAGGATATACATAAATAATCTAGTAATATTTTGGCTACCTACAATATTGGCTTGACTTCTTGATTTTACCACTGGAAAAAACTACTTGTAGCCATATGGCTACTTGGTAAAAATTTAAACTTTGAGGCCTGATATATGGAACATAACAAGATGCTTGTACAGCAATGTTTACTCATGGACCCGGGAAGATCCGGGGTGGAATAGGTCTTCAGCAACCCATGCTTACCGTGAAAGGCGACTATGCTTGTCGTAAGAGACAACTAACGGGATCGGGTGGTCAGGCTCACTGACTTGGTTGATGCATGTCATCAATCCCAATTGCGTGGATCAATGCTCATGATGTCAATCACTGGATTGTCTGGTCCAGACTGGATTGTTTACAGACCGCCGTCATATGGCTGGAATATTGCTGAGTGCGGCGTTAAACAACAAACAAACAAACATTCAATAAATACACACAGATACATGTTCCAGGTATTTGGGAAGTGTATACAGTCATGCCCCGCTTATACGGACTTCAGATATCCGGAAACCTTGGTTCCCGGACGATTTTCATTCAAAACGAAATAATTACTATATAAATTTACCCGTATATCTGGAAATTCAGTTTCCGGAACCGGACGGTCATTTTCATACACAAAACACTGAAATGCACACAAAATTGTCTCACTTACCCGGACAATACACTTCCACTGGTGGTAATCCTTTGATTCGTGAGAAGTCAATTAACCAAGTGACACTGAGTTACGTTTGAGACGAGCTTGTTTATTGTACATGTAATCCCATTCGATAAATATGGCGTCTGTGGAGGTCAGAGGTCAAAGTTGTGACTTCAAACTGTGAGTATGGCCTGTCAACCAGCGAAACGTAAGCAACACGCAGTTACAGCACGCGAAAAAAGGGAAATTTGTCTGTTTAAGGAAAAACAACCGTCAGCAAGTTTGGAAACCATCGGTAAGCATTATGGCACTGAATTTGGACATACCATAGGAAAATCGACAATTGGTGACATTTTAAAAGACAAACAGAAGTGGCTAAATCTCTTGGAAAATTCAAATGACTTGTCACAATCCCGTGTAGCAAAACACCAGAAGCTGGAAGATGCATTATATCTTTGGTTGTGTGACATGACAAGTCGTAATGTGCCCGTTAATGATGAAATGCTGATAGAGTAAGCTCGCGAGAACACAGGCGATCTGGACAATTTGGAATTATTGTTTAAAATTCAAACCTCAAAATGTGGTAATGTTCAAACTTCCATAACAGATTTTTTTAAACGTGTATGTCTTGAATAAAGATTGAGTGGATGTATCTGTTTGCTCTGTCATCTGTCATGAGTTGCATAATTGAAGGGAAGTAACTCTTCCAGTAAGAAGCTGGTTTCAGTTATACGGAAATTCGTTTATACGGACGAATTGTGAAATGACGCAAGTGTCTGTATAAATGAGGCAAGACTGTAACATGAAACACATGATAAGAATCACAATTTGAAATCACCCAAAAACTGAGCATTAAAACATGATATTGCAATATGTGTCGTGGAAAGAATGAACATCAATTTACCTATATACAAGTCTTTCAATGTCACAGAGTACATGCACATATATCTGTAACATTTACGGGATTATGTAACTTCGAGTGGCTTTTGTCTTTAATATATATATTTTTATTGTTTTGTTTTACAGGCTTGCCAAACCTAAAAATCAGGAATGTGATAAAAATAAGAAGTTCAATTTCTTTTTAAATTTCTGAAACAAATGTATCACAAATTGTTTCCCAGCTTACTCAGACAAGTGATACCTGCCCAATGAACCATGAATACCTGCTTAAAGCTTGAGATGTAGCCATGACATATAATATGTGTACTTTCACCACTATTCCAAGCAGTACATGTAAATGAAATGAGAATGCAATAGGTAAAAAAAAATTCCCATCCTACTGACCACTTTACAAAAAATTACATTTTGAAGAGTCAAATTACATTTTTAATCTTTAGGCAAAAATTTATAATGTGAAGTAATAAACAAAAAAAAATGTTTAGGAAACACCAGTGAATTTATTAGATTGCAGATAAAAGAAAAATTATAAAAATAACAAAAGAAATAGAAATAGAAAAAAGTACAACTGTGATCACGCTCTTCCAACACCGCAACATTTCATAGCTATAGCATGTCAATGCTGATGAAGGTATATGTGTTTTTCCGTCTTTCTTTAGGTCGGTGTATGGCCTCCACTCATCGGATGTGAAGACCACCCAAGGGATCCCCCTCCATCGCTTCACAGGGAACCAGGCGGAACTGGGAAATTTGACGCTGAATCCGGACAACATCGGCTTCTGTACCCCACAGTCCAGCTGTTTTGGAACTGGGGTGCTGAATGTCAGTGCCTGTCAAAGTTGTAAGTTGTCCAATAATATTGTCTTCTAAACTTCACTCATCTTCCTGAGGCAAGGGAGTTAACTGACTATAAAAGTCCAGTTTCCACCCTTGCCGAACTAGGCTGGAATTTCTGGGCTCGATCGTAGGATCATCAGTGGCTATTACGAGTTACGTCCCTTCTATGTCCCTCCTTCTATGTCCATCCTACTGACCAATTAGATTCCACCACCTCATATAGCTTACATTTGCTTGAAACAAACTAGCGGCGCCCTGTTCAAGATGATCTTAACGATAATCAAATCTATAATGTAATATAAGGGGTCTTAAGTTGCAAAGTGCATCATATCATGTGAGCACCTTGAAACATGAAACGATTTGAAAAATATCTGTTGACGCCGAGTTAGTGGTACGCATGCTTTGCAAATCCTGCAAGCGACCTAAATTTGCATGGCAGTTTAGGAACCAGATTTCGGTATGTGATTTTGATCGGACTATGCATAGACAGCTAAAATATAACTCCATAATCGAGTCTGGACCAGACAATCCAGTGATTCATATATTAAGCATCGATCTATGCAGTTCGGAAACGATGACATGCATCAACTAAGTCAGCGAACCTGACACCCGATTCCATAACAAGCATGAGTTGATGAAGAGCTATTGTAACCCGCATCTTCACGGGTCTGAGACATTGGATACAATGGTTCTGGTGCACCCCAGTTCACGCTGCTGCATGCGAGTTGCTGCGATGAATTACCTACCTTGACGCACCCTGTTTCCTACATCCGCAAAACGTCGACAATGGATCTGGCAGACAAGGATGTGAATGTTCGCTTGTTACACACATAGCACTCAGCATGACGGGGGTGGGTTGTCAGAAAGCATGTTCATTGAGAACTGCCAATAATATATAGGCAAACAAAAGTAGGAAAATTGGTGCTAAATTAGGTAGCAAGTTTTTAGCTGGCATCGGACATCGAGGAAGAGGTTGAAGTAAACAATACTGATAACATTGATAGAGCCAAACTCGACTGGAACGAGGGGTGGAGGAAAGATGAATTGGGGATCCTAGCTCAAAATTTAATCTGTGTGGATTGCAGCTTTGCTTTCTACTGCATGATCTGAATAAGTACATCTCAGATCTCTGATGACTGTGTCATGATTTTACATAAATATTGCTGTAAAATGTAATAGGATGTGCACATAATCTTGAAGTACCCACAGTTTGATGACATCAAGCCCAAGAATTGATGACAAATTACACATAACCCAGGAATTAATGATGTAGCATGATACATGTGATCGTAGTTGTGTGGAAAAGTAAAGTAAGTCAGACACAAATATCAATTGTCTAAGCATACACTCGGTGCATGTAGAAATAAATATTAGTTTGCCCTTTTCAATAATAGGTTGCACTGGTGCATGTTATATATAGCTTAATCGAGCCCTGATCTGAGTAATATATCAGTATGTATATATTGAAACACACTGAAAACGCATAATCAACTGTAACTTGAAAGGAATGACAAGAAAACAATTTTGGCTGTTCATCTCAATACACTTCGAATAAGATTCGAACCTGTTTGATGAGATTATTGTATTTGATGATCTCACGCCTAATGATACTTGAAAATATCATTTTACCTCAGGCTTGACATGCTCAATGTCCTTGTAAACTGTGTGCAACAAATTGCATGTCTTGAAAAAGTGACAAAACATAATCTGTGCCTGATGGTTATTCAAAACCCATTATTAAATGGCTGGTGCTAACAGTCTCCATGTTTGCTTTGTTTCAGTGGACTACTTCCAGATTCCGGGCGTGGTCTCGTTTCCTCACTTCTATCTGGCAGAGGACAAGTATGTCCATGGGGTGTATGGCATGGCACCCAACAAGGAGGAACACGAGACGGCCATTGATATAGAACCAGTGAGTAGTAGGAGGGGATGATGTGGGGGAAGAATTAAGGAACGGGTGGGAGAAGAGGTGATGGTACTGTGTGTGGAGGAAGGATTGAAGGGGGTGGGGGAGGGTGATGGTACTGTGTGGAGGAAGGATTGAAGGGGGTGGGGGAGTGGTGATGGTACTGTGTGGAGGAAGGATTGAAGGGGGTGGGGGAGTGGTGATGGTACTGTGTGTGGAGGAAGTATTGAAGAGGGGATGGGGGAGTGGTGATGGTACTGTGTGTGGAGGAAGTATTGAAGAAGGGATGGGGGAGTGGTGATGGTACTGTGTGTGGAGAAAGTATTGAAGAGGGGATGGGGGAGTGGGGATGGTACTGTGAGCAGAAAGTATTGAAGAGGGGTTGGGAGAAGAGGTGATGGTACTGTGTGTGGAGGAAGTATTGAAGAGGGTAGGGGGGGAGTGGGGATGGTACTGTGTGTGGAGGAAGTATTGAAGGGGGTGGGGGAGTGGTGATGGTACTGTGCGTGGAGGAAGTATTGAAGAGGGGATGGGGGAGTGGGGATGGTACTGTGTGTGGAGGAAGTATTGAAGGGGGTGGGGGAGTGGTGATGGTACTGTGCGTGGAGGAAGTATTGAAGAGGGGATGGGGAGTGGGGATGGTACTGTGTGTGGAGGAAGTATTGAAGGGGGTGGGGGAGTGGGGATGGTACTGTGTGTGGAGGAAGTATTGAAGGGGGTGGGGGAGTGGTGATGGTACTGTGCGTGGAGGAAGTATTGAAGAGGGGATGGGGAGTGGGGATGGTACTGTGTGTGGAGGAAGTATTGAAGGGGGTGGGGGAGTGGTGATGGTACTGGGATGTGGGGATGGTACTGTGTGTGGAGGAAGTATTGTAGAAGGGGTGGAGAAGAGGTGATGGTACTGTGTGTGGAGGAAGTATTGAAGAAGGGGTGGGGGAGTGGTGATGGTACTGTGCGTGGAGAAAGTATTGAAGAAGGGGGTGGGAGAAGAGGTGATGGTACTGTGCGTGGAGGAAGTAGTGAGGGGGTTTCGGAGAAGAGGTTTGGAGATTGTATTTGGAGGAAGTATTGAAGAGGGGTGGGAGTGAGGATGGTACTGTGTGTGGAGGAAGTATTGAAGAGGGGGTTTCGGAGAAGAGGTTTGGGGATTGTGTGTGGAGGAAGATTGAAGAAGGGGTTCGGAGAAGAGGTTATGGTTTTGTGTTATGAAAGAAGGTTATTGAAGAAGAGGTTTGGGTATTGTATGTGAAGCATTTAAGAAAGAACTGTGGATTGTGCAGAGGGGATGTTGAGTACAGTTCAGTATCATTCTCCGTCTAGGTCTGACAAACGTTCCACAGGAGGTCACTTCAGATAAACCCTGGTAAAACTATGACTGCCCAATCAAAAACAGATGATGCATGGGTTCTTTAGCCAATCAGATATCTGTTTTCTAAAATGATTTGGTTTCATTTCTTTACTACCTTCTTTGTTCCAAGTCCAGTAAACCTTTTTGGTTGTTGATATCACAGTTCTAAGAAATGACAGGACATAACATACACATATTCATATGTGCCCTTTAGTATTATTCATTCAGAACTGCCCATTTACATTCTTTATCAATATACTGAAATCTGCTTCATTGACTAACACCAAGAATTTAGAAGCCTTCACTCTGATTGGCTGATTATAAAGTTGGCCTGACGCCTGATTTAGTGTTGGTTGATGGAGAAAGGTATCAAATCGGAGTATTAGAGTGGCTGGTGATGTTCTCCTTTGTTCTGACAGCTGACTGGCCTGGTGCTGCAAGCTGCGAAGAGACTTCAAATCAACATGCATGTCATCCCCATCCCAGACATACAGTAAGTTAGCATACCTCAGTAGTCTTGTATTAGATGTATTGAGATACCGCAGTAGTCTATATTGGTTGTATTGGCATACCACAATAAACTTGTATTAATTGTATTGGGATACCACAGGAGTTTTGTATTGGTTGCATTAGCATACCACAGTTGTCTTGTATTAGTTGTATTGGCATACCACAATAAACTTGTATTAATTGTATTGGGATACCACAGTAGTCTTGTATTGGTTGTATTGGCATACCACAATAAACTTGTATTAATTGTATTGGGATACCACAGTAGTCTTATATTAGTTGTATCTTGAACCAGTATGACAATAATCTGTTCATTACCCATTGAATAACATGAAATGAATTCTCATATGTCTGTTTAATTTGCATGTACATGTATATTCATATCAAAGATGCAATACATTTGAGCAGTTGTCATGAGTTCTTCTATTTGCTTCACAGACAGACTGCCAACATCAAGCCAGTAGTGATGCCAATATTTTGGGTGAATGAGGTAATTATACCCCTGGGAAGTCCTTCCTACTTGAACCCTGGGGGGATTCTGGAGAAGAGTGTCTCCTCAGTACCTGATGCTCCAAGGGATTCCCTGGTACAATACCTCCCCAATGTGCCATGCTTGTCTCTCTGTGGGGATTCCCTGGCACAATAAGTCCCCAGTGCCCCATGCTTGTCTCTCTGTGGGGATTCCCTGGCACAATATATCCCCAGTGTCCCATGCTTGTCTCTCTGTGGGGATTCCCTGGCACAATATATCCCCAGTGTCCCATGCTTGTCTCTCTGTGGGGATTCCCTGGCACAATAGGTCTCCAGTGTCCCATGCTTGTCTCTCTGTGGGGATTCCCTGGCACAATAGGTCTCCAGTATCCCATGCTTGTCTCTCTGTGGGGATTCCCTGGCACAATAGGCCTCCAGTGTCCCATGCTTGTCTCTCTGTGGGGATTCCAGGGCAGAATACATCCCAAGGGTCCCATGCTTGTCTCTCTGTGGGGATTCCCTGGCACAATAGGTCTCCAATGTCCCATGCTTGTCTCTCTGTGGGGATCCCAGGACAGAATAAGTCTCCAGTGTCCCATGCTTGTCTCTCTGTGGGGATTCCCTGGCACAATAGGTCTCCAGTATCCCATGCTTGTCTCTCTGTGGGGATCCCAGGACAGAATAAGTCTCCAGTGTCCCATGCTTGTCTCTCTGTGGGGATTCCCTGGCACAATAGGTCTCCAGTGTCCCATACTTGTCTCTCTGTGGGGATCCCAGGACAGAATAAGTCTCCAGTGTCCCATGCTAGTCTCTCTGTGGGGATTCCCTGGCACAATAGGTCTCCAGTATCCCATGCTTGTCTCTCTGTGGGGATTCAAGGGCAGAATACATCCCAAGGGTCCCATGCTTGTCTCTCTGTGGGGATTCCCTGGCACAATAGGTCTCCAGTGTCCCATTCTTGTCTCTCTGTGGGGATCCCAGGACAGAATTAGTCTCCAGTGTCCCATGCTTGTCTCTCTGTGGGGATTCCCTGGCACAATAGGTCTACACTGTCCCATGCTTGTCTCTTTGTGGGGATTCCAGGGCAGAATACATCCCAAGGGTCCCATGCTTGTCTCGCTGTTGGGATTCCAGCACACAATACATCCCCAGTGTCCCATGCTTGTCTCTCTGTGGGGATTCCCTGGCACAATAGGTCTCCAGTGTCCAATGCTTGTCTCTCTGTGGGGATTCCAGGGCAGAATACATCCCCAGGGTCCCATACTTGTCTCTCTGTGGGGATTCCCTGGCACAATAGGTCTCCAGTGTCCCATGCTTGTCTCTCTGTGGGGATTCCAGGGCAGAATACATCCCAAGGGTCCCATACTTGTCTCTCTGTGGGGATTCCCTGGCACAATAGGTCTCCAGTGTCCCATGCTTGTCTCTCTGTGGGGATCCCAGGACAGAATAAGTCTCCAGTGTCCCATGCTTGTCTCTCTGTGGGGATTCCCTGGCACAATAGGTCTCCAGTATCCCATGCTTGTCTCTCTGTGGGGATTCCCTGGCACAATAAGTCTCCAGTGTCCCATGCTTGTCTCTCTGTGGGGATTCCCTGGCACAATAGGTCTCCAGTATCCCATGCTTGTCTGTCTGTGGGGATTCCAGGGCAGAATACATCCCAAGGGTCCCATGCTTGTCTCTCTGTGGGGATTCCCTGGCACAATAGGTCTCCAGTGTCCCATGCTTGTCTCTCTGTGGGGATTCCCTGGCACAATAGGTCTCCAGTATCCCATGCTTGTCTCTCTGTGGGGATTCCCTGGCACAATAGGTCTCCAGTATCCCATGCTTGTCTGTCTGTGGGGATTCCAGGGCAGAATACATCCCAAGGGTCCCATGCTTGTCTCTCTGTGGGGATTCCCTGGCACAATAGGTCTCCAGTGTCCCATGCTTGTCTCTCTGTGGGGATTCCAGGGCAGAATACATCCCAAGGGTCCCATGCTTGTCTCTCTGTGGGGATTCCCTGGCACAATAGGTCTCCAGTGTCCCATGCTTGTCTCTCTGTGGGGATTCCAGGGCAGAATACATCCCAAGGGTCCCATGCTTGTCTCTCTGTGGGGATTCCCTGGCACAATAGGTCTCCAGGGTCCCATGCTTGTCTCTTTGTGGGGATTCCAGGGCAGAATACATCCCAAGGGTCCCATGCTTGTCTCTCTGTGGGGATTCCCTGGCACAATAGGTCTCCAGGGTCCCATGCTTGTCTCTCTGTGGGGATTCCAGGGCAGAATACATCCCAAGGGTCCCATGCTTGTCTCTCTGTGGGGATTCCCTGGCACAATAGGTCTCCAGGGTCCCATGCTTGTCTCTCTGTGGGGATTCCCTGGCACAATAGGTCTCCAGGGTCCCATGCTTGTCTCTCTGTGGGGATTCCAGGGCAGAATACATCCCAAGGGTCCCATGCTTGTCTCTCTGTGGGGATTCCCTGGCACAATAGGTCTCCAGGGTCCCATGCTTGTCTCTCTGTGGGGATTCCAGGGCAGAATACATCCCAAGGGTCCCATGCTTGTCTCTCTGTGGGGATTCCCTGGCACAATAGGTCTCCAGTGTCCCATGCTTGTCTCTCTGTGGGGATTCCCTGGCACAATAGGTCTCCAGGGTCCCATGCTTGTCTCTCTGTGGGGATTCCCTGGCACAATAGGTCTCCAGGGTCCCATGCTTGTCTCTCTGTGGGGATTCCCTGGCACAATAGGTCTCCAGGGTCCCATGCTTGTCTCTCTGTGGGGATTCCAGGGAACAATAGATCCCTAGTGCTTGTCTCTCTGTGGGGATTCCAGGGCAGAATAGGTCCCCAGTGTCCCATGCTTGTCTCTCTGTGGGGATTCCAGGGCAGAATAGGTCACCAGTACCCCATGCTTGTCTCTCTGTGGAGTTTCCAGGACAGAATAGGTCACCAATACCCCATGCTTGTCTCTCTGTGGAGTTTCCAGGACAGAATAGGTCCCCAGTGTCCCATGCTTGTCTCCCTGTGGAGATTCCAGGACAGAATAGGTACCCAGTACCCCATGCTTGTCTCCCTGTTGAGATTCCAGGACAGAATAGGTATCCAGTACCCCTTGCTTGTCTCTCTGTGGGGATTCCAGGGCAGAATAGGTACCCAGTACCCCATGCTTGTCTCCCTGTTGAGATTCCAGGACAGAATAGGTATCCAGTACCCCTTGCTTGTCTCTCTGTGGGGATTCCAGGGCAGAGTAGGTCCCCATTACCCCATGCTTGTCTCTCTGTGGGGATTCCAGGGCAGAGTAGGTCCCCATTACCCCATGCTTGTCTCTCTGTGGGGATTCCAGGACAGAATAGGTATCCAGTACCCCTTGCTTGTCTCTCTGTGGGGATTCCAGGGCAGAATAGGTACCCAGTACCCCATGCTTGTCTCCCTGTTGAGATTCCAGGACAGAATAGGTATCCAGTACCCCTTGCTTGTCTCTCTGTGGGGATTCCAGGGCAGAGTAGGTCCCCATTACCCCATGCTTGTCTCTCTGTGGGGATTCCAGGGCAGAGTAGGTCCCCATTACCCCATGCTTGTCTCTCTGTGGGGATTCCAGGGCAGAGTAGGTCCCCATTACCCCATGCTTGTCTCTCTGTGGGGATTCCAGGGCAGAGTAGGTCCCCATTACCCCATGCTTGTCTCTCTGTGGGGATTCCAGGACAGAGTAGTATATTTATGAATAGTATATACATATATATATATATATGGGTACAATGTGTGAAACCCATTTCTGGTGTCCTCTGTCATGATATTGCTGGAATATTGCAAAAAGTGGTGTAAAACCATACTCATTCACAGTGCTGCAGTGCTATGGTACTAAGATTGAGATTGTCAAAAAGGGACACTGCACCATTCTTGGGGCGCAATTACGGTTTAGACAGAATGGCCATGTGGGAAGGTGAATCATTGCAGTGTTTCTGTGGGTTTTGTATCTGCTGGTCATTGGGATTATTTGAAGTTCATATTACATCACAACTAATCTTTTTGTGAACTGTAAACACATGTTACTTCTGTTGTCAGAGTGCCGCAGTTGACGATGTCCACGCTAAGCAGTTGCAAGATCTGCTGTTTACGCCGCTCCTGGTCACAGATATACTCAAATATGGACTTATTGGTGTTGGGGCGGCCATGTTTCTCTGTTCAGCAATCTATGCAATATGGTTCTTGAAGGTAATGTGTTTGTGAAGTTGGACACACATGGAACTATTTTGTGTCAAATGTATATTTCTGTGTGTAGTGGTAGTAGTGCTTGTTAAATGGGGACTGGGTGGATTGTGTGTCCCTTGTCCCAACTGGGTCAATGTTCGTGCTATCAACCACTAGTTTGCTTGGTCAAGATGCTATTATGTACACCACCATGATGTAACCGGAATATTACTGACTGTGGCATGGAATAACTTTCACTTACTTACTTATTCCATTGCTCTGAGTTTTAATGCCAGAGGGGGCGCTGGTGGCAGAGTCATCTAAGGCGCCGCAATTCGCTGTGCAGAGTTGCATCTTAGTAGGGCTGATGGGGTCGTTCCAGGGTAGCACAGTTGTATGTGCAGAGTATGTGCTGGTATTTAACCCATCTATCACAATGTACAATGATCTTTCGATTGTACCTAGGTTCCTCTTTGTCCATCGGGTGGGTCTTTATGACATAGTGCTTCAATTTGTAATGATTCATTGGACCTTTTAAGATCCGGGGTAGAATAGGTCTTCAGCAACCCATGCTTATCGTAAAAGGCAACTATGCTTGTCAAAAAAGGCGACTAATGGGTTCAGGTGGTCAGGCTCACTGACTTGGTTGATGCATGTTATTGTATCCCAATTGTGTAGATTGATGCTCATGATATCACTCACTGGATTGTCTGGTCCATACATGATTATTTACAGACCGCCATTGTATAGTTGGAATATTGTTGAGTGCGGCAACAAAACAACAAACATGATGATTGTTTAAATTACTGAAGCATTGACGCTCATCAATTTTTCAATCATACTTCATCACTGGAAAGTGACATATCAACCGTTATCAGTAACTTAATAGACAGAACTGATAATTAGCTAGTCTGTAACGTACCTTATTGTTAATGTTTATCTCAACCAAGATTTGTTGCATTCAGAACTATCCATTACTTTCAGTCCCCTGAGACTTCAACAAACAGCAGTGAAAGATCTGAGCCCCATCGCTGTGATGACAGCCCAGATGAGACCACACCCTTACTGTATGATGAAGCTTACAGTGGTCGCAATGGCCACACAAACAGGCTACAAGGGGGCAACACTGCCCCTAACATCAACCAGCTAGAAAGGGACACTGCAAGGGCTAACACTCCCTCTAACACTGATTATATGCAAGAGGAAAGAGATCGATCCAACGCTCCCCAAAACACTGATAATATGCAAGGGGACACTGCAGGGATTAACACTCCCCCTAACACTGATCATATGCAAGAGGAAAGAAATCAATCCAACACTCCCCAAAACACTGATAATATGCAAGGGGACACTGCAGGGATTAACACTCCACCTAACACTGATCATATGCAAGAGGAAAGAGATCGATCCAACGCTCCCCAAAACACTGATAATATGCAAGGGGGCACTGCAGGGATTAACACTCCACCTAACACTGATCATATGCAAGAGGAAAGAGATCGATCCAACGCTCCCCAAAACACTGATAATATGCAAGGGGGCACTGCAGGGATTAACACTCCCCCTAACACTCATCATATGCAAGAGGAAAGAGATCGATCCAACACTCCCCAAAACACTGATCGTATGCAAGGGGGCACTGCAGGGATTAACATTCCCCCTAACACTGATCATGTGCAAGAGGAAAGAGATCGATCCAACACTCCCCAAAACACTGATAATATGCAAGGGGGCACTGCAGGGATTAACACTCCCCCTAACACTCATCATATGCAAGAGGAAAGAGATCCATCCAACACTCCCCAAAGCACTGATAATATGCAAGGAGGCGCTGCAGGGATTAACACTCCCCCTCACACTGATCATATGCAAGAGGAAAGAGATTGATCCAAGACTCTTCAAAACACTGACAGACTACAGGTGACACTGCAGGGATAAATACATGATTATTATTGTGTGTGACCTTTCACTGACCAATAGTGATGGGATAAATACAATGGCAAACGGTACAGTATCTGCTCTCCAAATGTAAAGGACACAGAATTTTTTAAACTACTGGTCTGTGAAGAGAGTATTGAGGGACAGCAAGACAACTCAGGTGGATGTTCTATTGTTGTTCATGATCACGTGTTTGCTCGTCATGAAGAAGGACCTATTTATTCCAAACACCACATAACAGGGATGGCACCAAAGGGGGGTAACTCTTGAAATTTTCTACAACCTATCAAACCTATAAGCAATCACAGGTTCCAGGTGGGAGCAGATAGGAATATCTGTGGCCAAGTTCATCTCTATCAAAAACAAAGTGTCAATGGTAAGGATTGTGTTTGAGGTAAATAAGCTCAATAGATTTCTGATGATTCTGTTAGTGTATGCAAATATTTCTGCTCTGCGTGATATTTTTTATATTGACTGAGAAACAGTGCTTCAGGGTGCTAAGGTCAAATTGTTTTGTAAGAGATGCTATAATGTAAACCTGTTTATCCAGACAGAGATATTGTCCGGATTAACGAAGGACAAGGAATGATGAGGACCCTTTTGGGCCCAGGACATAGTTTAAAGGGCAAGTTCACACGGAAATTAACCTATTTTTCTTGTACTTTTTCCACATTAAAAGTGTTAACCTAGAAGTGTCATAGACAAAAATATAAAAATATCACAATTAATTAACATATTTTTCGCATTAAAACGATTTATATTTTTCACATTTACCAAGTGTTCTATTTCCACAACAAAAACACCATGGCTTATGCCCCTTGCAATATGACGTCATTGGTGCCAATTGATAAACATTATGACGTCATCATGCTTTGTTAGAGCCGCTTCACGTGGTGTAGGTCTAGGTGTGTGATTCTAGCGTCTCAGATGCCAGCCAGCATAGTGTTATGCTGAGTCACCACTGCGCCGGAGTGTGTCGTAGGCCATGTTGTTTTACCGCAAACTGGTACTTGATATTTTTTGCGTTGAGAATAGACAGGGACCCAGTTGAATTGGCACCAATTACGTCATAATCTAAGGGGGATAACTCAGGCCTGTTTAGCTCGAAAAACGAAGGCCTCATAACGGCATATCATTTTCACACTATTGTGAGCTTCCTACTTTCACTGTGAAAAAAATGAGTGTATATTTTCAAACACAGATACTAACTAATTCTAAAATTGCGTTTTGTTTAGAAAAAGAAAGAAAGTGATTTTTGCGTGTACACTTCCCCTTTAAGAAAGAAGAAAAACCATTACAAATCATTATGGCAATTATCAGATGTGTTCATATGAATAAGAATAAGACTTTGTCCATTGCATACCATATTTTCTTAAGTTAATTAATTCAAACAATATTAAAAGGAATTTTTGATAGAAATTATGAAATAAGTTACAAACATACATCCAGTTATACAAAGAACACTTTTCAAAGCCAGACAGTGTAATTACATGATTAATTTGCGTACTTCAGTATGGACTTGTTGACATGGTATTTCCGGTGTTACATGCTCACGGTAATGTCTTTCTGTTGGCGGAAAAAAAAACATCAAAACTCATTATGGCGTGTATAATGTGCACCCCCTTCTACACAGCTGTGGTTTTTTTAAAAACGTGAGCACTATACTCAGAAAATACGGTATTCATGACAACCCTAAACAGGTAAAATTTGTCAAAGAGGCTGATTCTTGAAGTTTTCCTGAAGCATCATTTGAAATAGCTATGTCAAACATTTATTTATTTAATGAAAGTCATTCTGACATGAAGTTAAAACTGCAGCAGGCTTCTTAAATCACTGGGGGCATTCGCTCGTCACGCCGAAGACCCGGGTTCGATTCCTGACATGGGTACAATGTGTGAAGCCCATTTCTGGTGTCCCCTGCCGTGAAATTGCTGGAATATTGCTAAAAGCGGCATAAAACCATACTCACTCACTCACTCACTCACTTTCTCACTCACTCACTCACTCACTCTTGAACCTCTGATAGTGACATGGAATTTATATATAACATTTTACACTGTATAAGAGGGTCAATATTACTAGCGGGAGACATAATTAAAATAAATCTTTTTTATGTTTAATTTATTTCTTTTCCAAAAATAAATAATGTTAGGCCTGAAGCATGTGTGAATGTTATGACACATATATATATTATGTACACAATGTATTAGAGGGTCTTATTGAATACAGGTGAGATATAAATGTTTTATCAACAGCTGGGCAAAAGAAAGTCTTTATCAAAACATTATTAGGTTGAAAACAGTCACTAAAACACTGCAGACTTAAGGTCAAGAATACAGCCATGATACCTGTATCAAATACATCACTATCGAAGAACCATTTTTGGGTTGTTTCATTTTTAACCACCATCCAACATAAGTGTACGCTTTCTTTTGTGGGTCAGTTTATGATGCTGTATATTTGACAATTAGACTAATGACCTAGTATCCCAGCTGTACTGTTTGTCTATCTGTATAGAGAAGATATATACAAGATGTTGGGATACACAACTGACAGACTGGCACAGTCACCACAAACCATACCAGTTGACATCCTTAAAATGGTTCCACTGAAAATAATTTTTTATTCATCAATGTTGATATACTGAACAAAAAGGTTTAGGGATCATGAATATATTTCGGGATGTTTTTGTTGTTGTGAACAGCTGATCACCCAATTTCATAAAAAAATATCCCCCCAAAATATTCCTGATCCCTAATTGTTTTTGATTAGTATACTTTAACCCCCGGAGCACAGGTGGCCCAGTCGTCTAAGGCGCCGCGATTCACTGTGCAGAGTTGCGTCCTTTGGGCACGCCAGAAACCTATGATTGTGGGTTCGAATCCCGGTTCGCCCCGATTATGTTTCTAGGTTTGTCAGCACCATACCCGTGCTCGTGGGTTTCACCAAAGTGGTAAATGTCTGAGACCTGCATCACTTCGGGCTTTCCTCCCATATTAAGCTGACATGCCGTGATGTTACTGGAATAATGTTTAAAGGGGCGTTAAACCAAACTCACTCACTTTAACCCCCATTCCACATTTGGTTGTAAACACACCAATGTACCCACACAGTGTAAATTAGATGTTTGTTTTATGTAAATATTGACTAAAACATTGTCAGTGATCATTCAGGGATGTTTTTATGATGTTATTCTGAATACAGATTTGTAACTTGACCAAGTGTACAATGACATGCTTCCATAGCTGGCTCCAGTAAACTGTATTCTAGGAATGGGTGCTGTCCATCCGTCCATCACGTTCATATTTGACAAATATATATTTTTCGAGTTTCCATGGCAGCGACTTTGACTTAGACTGAAAATGGTGGTAGTGCTCATTTCCGCAGCAGAATTGAAAACCGTACAATATTTTTTGCCATGCACACCACCAGACATGTCATATTGGCAGGGGATTTGAGTACATCATGCTCGTTGTTATAGTTTGGGGAGAATCTGTGCTGTTGGGAAGTGGATGTTGTGTTTGTTGTTTGCAGTGCCACAACTCCTTATCATATTGGTTGATCACAGATCCAGGGATTTTCAACTTGCCACTGACCATCTGCGGGTCAATATTATGCAATTATTTTTTAATCTGTGTATAAAGAATTATGTGTGTAAAATATCGTAATGGAAAGAAATTACCCCTTTTGCGAAAATGTCATTGAAAATTGCACTTACAAAATCTAATTATATTTTTGTACTGATGTAAATGTTGTTCTGAATTTTTAGGCAACACAATTATAGGTAGTTTTTGGAAAATGTGTTTCTAGATGTGTTTTTGGTTTGGTCTATGCAAGATGCTGGAAACACTAACATGCCTTCTATTTATCTTAGTTGTTTCTTGAAGTGGTTTTATATTCAAGAGTTTTGAGTATTTGTCTTCCATTTGTGCCAAAGTTATTGTTGATGTTGCCTATATTTTGTACATAGATACTTAGGCATTTCATTTTTCATTGATTGGTATACAGATTCACTGGCCAAACATTTCACAAAAGTGGAAACAATTTTTATAATGTTTTCCTTCTCCTAAGTCTTTTAACCTAAATAATACCTCTGTGAGGGTCCCGGGATACAGTCAGTCAACCTATGTTGGCAAGATGATAGATTGGGTGGTCGGACTTGGATGATTGCTTGTCTCAAGGGTGTGGATTGTAGCTCATAACATCAATCACTGGTTGACCTGTGCCAGACTTGGTTGTTTACAGGCCGTCACCATAGCTGATATATAGCTGACTGTGGCATTAAAAGGATCCGACAAATAAACTTCAGGGAGGAAATATTCAATGTTAGTCAGTATGGGCATGACAAAAGAGAAGTAACAGTTTAAAATGTTCTTTTTCATGTTTTTCTTTACTTCACTCACCTGTCAATTCTTTTAAAAGATAATTGTTTTTAACAGATATATTTTTATATTACATGTTTATTTCTATATCAACGACCAAAATTTGTATTTTGGGTAAAAACAAAAAATCTTAATGTAAATTATGTTTATTATGCTATTTATGCATTCTTCTTATCAAATAGGTTTTTTTTATGAACTTAGGTGTTCTGTGTTTGTTTTAATTGTTTTATATGTAGATTTGCATAATGGTTTTACAGACTAAAATGGCTATTTGTAATTGTTCTCAAATTGGGTGTTTTGGCACCGTTACAGTTAGTCTGTCTCCCAGACCCTAGAGAAAAGAATTAAAAAAAGGAGTCCAACTCAAGGCAAGAATGATTTGGCAAGTCTAAACAGCCTCCGAGGATTGTTCTGGGCACCATTTGGATTATATATTTGTTATTTGGTAGATATATATTTCAAAAAAAGATAATTATATTTCTGGGACTAAATGTCCATCTACGTTATGATATTGGTAGTATGATAATAGTGTACTATATGGTTTGTATCCTTGAGTTGTTTAAATAGTGGGGTGGTGAATGGGTTCAAGTGTGTGCTTGTCAAACTGAAGACCTATGTTTGATTCTCCACAAAAGTAAAACCTGTGAAGCCCAATTTTGGTGATATGGCTGGACTATTGTTGATAGTTAAAACCTCATTCACCCTGAGTTGTGTGGGTTCAGAATGTGACATCTGTTTGACTCTATATTTATAATCTGTTATGTTGATCATCTGTTCTGTTTATGAGTGTATGGTTGATACCCATGGCTATGATGTTTGCTTGTATTAACACAGTGGTGTCTTTAAGGACAAATGAACTAGGGTTGAAATGGTATGCATTGTCTGATATGTATGTAATGATATGTATGTCTCAGGGGCAAATCCACCCAAACACTATATGTAAACTATTATTAATTTTACTTTAAAAACCAAATCAGGATATGACACTAAAGATCAATCATGATAATGACATCACGCTATTGTTGTTGCAGTGGATTCTGAGTTAGGAATTCACTGACCATTCTGAATGTATGTTTTAATAAATATAAATAACTACAGGTCATTATGCAAAACTATAGAGAAATTATATATCAACCATTAAATGGTTTAAGTTGGAGAAAGCACCCAAATCTGTTCATTCAGGAAGTAGAATCAACAGAACGCGTCCGGGTAGCCTAGTGGTTAAAGCGTTCGCTTGTCATGCCGAAGACCCGGGTTCGATTCTCGACATGGGTACAATGTGTGAAGCCCATTTCTGGTGTTCCCCGCCTCAATATTGCTGGAATATTGCTAAAAGCATTGTAAAACCATA